CCCCCCCGGCTTGGTGGCGGTGGAGGTTTTTCCCCCCCCCCCCCCCAACAGAACGCGCAGAAGCGCATGGAGAACAAGTACATGTACGACGCCCTCCCGGAGAACGTGAGGCGCAGCAACCCCCCGGGCGGCGGGCGTGACCTCGAGGAGAAGATGGACGCGGCCAGGCAGATTGACATCCGACAGCGCATGCAGAAGGAGCGGAGGGAGCGTGTGAACCACTACCTAGACCTTGCGGTGAGGAGGCAGGGATGACGTCATCATGGCCCTCAGCATGAGCTCTACGCTTTAGGTTGCGCAGTATACTGCTTGTGGTAGCACGTACGCCCCCCCCTCCCCCGTCTCCCCGCTGCAATATACGGCACCCCCAAGAAAGAGTGGAGGGAGCGCGTTAGCCACTACCTGGACCTGGCTGTGAGGCTGGAAAAACCATGCACTCGGCAGCAGCTCTACGTTTTAGTGTGTGCTGTTTACTGCTTGTGGTAGCCCCCCCCCCTCCCCGCTGTAATAGTTTTCGGCACCATCCCCGCGAGAGCGACGCTTTTCTTCTTCCTGAAAGCCGAACATCCAGAGTAGCCAGTGGCAGAGATTTCTGTCGACTGTTCTTGCACCGTGTGCTCCACCGGAGTAAGAGCACGCGCACGCGCATGGCGACGACAACCACGTTCTCGGGACCACGGCACGACGACCACCGACATATTTTCCCGGTTTTCCCCTCATTTTTGAACACGTCTTTTGCCTTTGAACAACGCGAAAAAGAATGGTGGGGCAAGACAAAGCGAACGTATTTCCACTAGGAACGTTTGGTGATGTCTTCTCTACATATCTCTCTTTTGTTTATTTTGATTCCGTGTGTATTTGCTCTCTCTCTTTTTTTTTCCTGCAGCACCGCCCGATCGCGAGCACGGCGGACATCATGGCGCTGTCTCAGGAGGAGGTGGACTCTAGGTCAAGGTTCTTCAACGAAGTGCCCAGTACCTGGGAACAGGTGTGCACATGATAAAGATCAATGCTCTGAAGCCGCAGAGACCACACGCGAGTTTAGATACCAAATGTCGCCTTGTCTTTTCTTTTTTTTTTTTCTACGTCCGTACTTGTACCACACGTGTTCCTTTTCTGTGTGCATGATGTTGTTAGAATTGTAGTGGCTGCCTTGAAGAGCGACTGCCTGTCTGATGTACAAACAAAAATGCTGCTTGTACTCTGCTCTTGCGACTCTCGCTCGATTCCGGTCCAACATGGAAGACACATGCACCACACTTCTGTTTTTCTCTTTCTCGCGGTGGCCTGGCAATTACAGGGATCCTGTGTACAGTCAGTAAGCACCCGCACTTACAGAACATGGCACTTAAGAACATAAGCACCCGCACTTGTAGAACATGGCACTTAAGAACATAAGCACCCGCACTTGTAGAACATGGCACTTAAGAACATAAGGTTTGTTTCAAAACTGTCGAAACATACTCGAACCCGATCCTTTACAAACACCCTGAATATAATAGTAGCTGTTAATATACTTCAGTCAAAACAAAGGCAGACCTCGAGGATTGTGCGTAATAGGAGGCATGCTTTCGAAGTGGCGCGGGTGTTCAGTGCTGTGGTTTGGGGTCCCCAAAACTGAAAATGAAAAAAAAAAAGAGAGAGAGAGAGAGAGAGAGAAACGAAACCCACTTTAACTCTGTATTGATGTGCGGGGGGCGGGGGGGGGGTATGTATGATGTTCCAAAATTTTGGCACGGCACGACGCGAGCATTCGTGAGGCCAAGAAAGGCACGACGAGTCCTCACGCAAGGGAAGTAAAGCGCTGTCATACTATTAGTAGAGTCACGGAACGACGGCCAAACGCTACAGCAGCAGCAGCAGCAGTAGCAGCAGCAGCAGCAGCAGTAGCAGCAGCAGCAGCAGCAGCAGCAGCAGCAGCAGCAGTAGCAGCAGCAGCAGCAGCAGCAGCAGTAGCAGCAGCAGCAGCAGCAGCAGCAGCAGCAGCAGCAGTAGCAGCAGCAGCAGCAGCAGCAGCAGCGGTTCATCATTACCGCGGAAGTGGGACGAGCTTGCATCCGCGCCTCGCTGAGACACAGCAAAATACGTTCCGCATCAAACACACAACGTATGATTCGTCTCCCAATAACAATAAAATACACACTAGTCTGTGAGACGTAGCACACTAGTCTATGAGACGTCTGTAGGTCTCCAGGTTCGCGTACAATCTATGGGACAGTCGTGAGGTGACATTCACAAGTCGACTTTGTTTATTGCAGATTATTCCCTCATGTTGTTCTTTGGCGGTGCCCCCCCCCCCCGACCGTTTTTTTTTTTTTTCATCGAAAAGGCGTACGGCCCCCCAAACCTCCCGGAGGTGGAGCGCGAGAGGTCCGAGACGGGCGGAAGGAAGTCGGAGGGCGTCACCGAGGCGCGCATGTCCTTGTACCGGTCCGCGAGACAGATCCCGCGGTACCGCTTCTTCGGCGACCCCCCTCTCAAGGAGCAGGACGAGGCCTACTTCGCCGAGCGTGAGTGTGTTTATTTATTTTAAATCATTTATTTATTTGTTTTGTTTAGTTTTTGTACTGCCATAAAATAAAATGGTGTGTGGTAAACAATCGCAAAAAAAAACTCCTTCCCCTCCCCGTTCAAGATAATTTATTTTTCGTGGTCGTTATTTTTCTTTTTCCTTGTTTGTTTTTTATTTATCCTCTGTTATTTTTCTCCTGAGAAAGTGTGACTAGTGTGGTTGGTAGTAAGAAGAATCAACACGGGCCGTAGCCCTGGCCATGGGCGTGAAAAGTTTCGGCCTCGTCTGTATGCCTACCTTTCCCTCTTGCTTCCTTTATTTTTGTTTTCTGGACTCTCTCGGAACCTTTTTGCGTAGTGGTGTTTGTCTTTGGTGTAAGCATGCTGTTGCGTGTTCACATGCTAGTGCGTCGTTCACTCTGTATTGGTGTTTGTACTGTGTGTGTGTTTTGGCTCACTTCGCCAAAGCTTGAATATCCCCCCCCCCCTCCCTCACACGTTGGTGTCAGGAATGCTGTTTGCGGATGATTTTGTTGGTATGTCGGACACCCCTGAGGGACTGCAACTGCAAATTGACGCGGCGAAGAAGTTTACTGATAAGTGGAGATTGTCTGCCAACGTTACGAAGAGTGCCGTCATGGTATGCAACGAGGGCAGGGAGGAACCAGTAGAACATAGATGGAAGTGGGGGATCGAGGAGATTGCAGTAGTGGACCAGTACACATACCTCGGAGTAGAGATCGCAAAAGATTGCTCGTGGAATGCACACATGTCCAAGGTAGCGGAAAAGGGCAAAGCACGAGCAGGGAAGCTGCACCCAATACTCGCAAACCGGCACCTTGATACACGCATCAAATTGACGGTGTTGAAGAGCGTAATCGTACCGCCGCTAGAGTACGCCGGAGAAGTATGGGAAGGAAATAAGAAGGTAGTGAAAGAACTCGAGGCGGCGCAGATGAAAGCAGCGAAAATCATCCTAGGATGCTCCAAGCGCACAAGTAATGCAGCAGTCAGGGCAGAATTGGGGATCCAATCCCTACGGTCGGGAAGAGACGTAAGGAAGCTGACATGGCAGTATCGCATGTGCGGGATGGGAGAGGAGAGGTTGCCGAGAATAGTATGGGAGGCGAAGTGGGCAAACAAAAAGAGGGGTAGACAACCCACGGAATGGGTCAAGGTTGTAGAGGACGTATGGAAGGGGTTGGACATCGACGAAGATGAAACGCTGGAAACGGAGGGTCTACAGGGGTTCAAGAAGAAGATATCTGTTGCTTGTGCCGACAGAGAAGAACAGAATCTAAGGAAAGAATCCAAGGATAAGGAGGGTCTAGAAGTGTACGGAATGTTGAAAGAAGGAATAGGGTTCAAGGATTACCTACATGGACCAATGGATGCAGGGACAAAGCTTAAGGTCAAATTCAGGACCGGGGACATAGGCCTTCGCGAACGTCGACGAAGACATAGGACGGTAGACGACGAAGACGATAAGTTCAAATGCGATTGCGGCTTCGAATGCGAAGACAGTGTTCATGTAGTCGCGGAATGTCCGTGGTACGAAAAGGAGAGGGAAGTGTACATGACTGAGCTGGGGAGAATACAAGTGACATACGGGGAAATGTTTGAGGCATGGAATAGAGAGGAGAGGACGGTAGCGGTACTGGGGAGTAGAAAGTGGTTTGAAAAGGCGGGAAGGGACATCGGTAGGATAGACAAACTAGGGAAGACATTTTTGAGCCACCTTTGGCAAAGTAGGAAGGAACGATTGGCCATCGGTGATCGGTCCTGTGGGAACAATGCTCCGTCCTCTCGAGGACGCGTGGTCAATGGTCTAACCGCTAAGGCATGCAAAACATAAGAGTACGCCCCCCCCCCTCCCTCACGAGACCTGTCGAGTTCACCCCTCACAGTGTACGTGAGAAAATGCCTCGCCGAACGTGATGCACTCATTGCTGCATGTGCATGGAAGGTTAGTGGTCGTTTTCTGTGGGGGGTGGTAGACGCAACCAACCAACCAACCAACCAACCAACCGACAACTAACGCGATGACCATCTACCCCCCCCCCCCCCCCCCCCCCCCCCGGGCCGGGGCTCCCCCCTCCTTTTTTTTCCCC